TTGGCCTCGCGTTAGATTCTAGAGCTAAAAGTTTTCAACAAGGTCGTTTTAGACCTCAGTTTCAAACTAATTAACTCTGGCGGGAATTATGTAAGGATCTTAAGTTTTACTGACGTTTATTTTATTTTAAATCTTTACTATCACTTCTTATTTCTACTTCCGTCCAGAATTAAAAGCTTTAACTTATTTATGCAAATTTGTCTGGCGAACGCCAAGTACTTAAGTTGTGGCTTTTTGCCAAGCGAGAGAGAGGAAGGAGTTAGTAGAAGCAGGCCGCGTGCCTTAGCAGTTTACTCGGTTGCTGGTTGCCTTCCAGGCCAGAGGTTTAATCCTCTTGATAATTTTAAACGTATCGTAGTGTTCAGACCACAAGTGGTTGGCCTCTGTATTCCGAAGTCCGGAAATTATTGTAAAGAGTGAAAAATAAAGGGTTTCGTATACCCTTCCTGTGTATCTTGTCTACTTCCCACATTTATTGAACATAGCTTTAGTAAGCTCCCTGTTCCGAGTCAGATTCTTGAATGTTCCCCAAGCAAGTAAGGAGAAACGCTGAACCTGATAAGCTGTATACGTTAAAAGCAGAAAACAAATACAAACTCGAAGAACACGTCAACAAAATGCTCGAAATCATAGACGAATTGCGAGGAACCGGTGAAGAAATAAAGGACAGGCACATTGCAGCGCTCTTACTAAGCGGCTTACCAAAGAGCTACGAAAATCTCATTACAGCTTTAGAAGCACGCCCAGAAGAAGAACTAACGCTGGAATACGTAAAAACGAAACTGATCGAGGAATGCCTGAGAAGGAAAGAAGTAACGCGAGCAGAAGAAACGACTGCCTTCAAAACGAATTTTAAGACAAAATTCAAGCATTTAAATCAACGAAGATGCAATTATTGAAAAAAAAATAGGACACTTGGAAAAAGAGTGCAGATTCTTAAATAACCACAAAGAAAAAGATAAAAACGAAAGTAATTCGTTTTTCAAGAATGAAAAGCAAACAAATAAAGGAAACTATGGAAATAAACAGAAAACGAAAGTTGCTGTAAACGAGGATACACATGAAGATGAAAACGAAAATAAGAATCATAAGAAGACTGAGAATTACACGTTCGAAGTCACCAGAGAAAGAAAATCTCAAAACTTAAACTGGTCAGTTGACTCAGGTGCTACTTGTCATATGACCGATAACATAAACTTTTTCACCAAATTGGATAGAAACAAAACTGAGCAGATAACAATTGCTAACGGCACGCAGATGAAGTCCGAAGGTATAGGAGAAGGGTACTTATACTGTACAGACGACGAAGATAACGAAATAGAAGTAAGACTCGTAGATGTTCTGTACGTTCCTGACCTAGAAGGAGGATTGATATGCGTACGAAAAATTACAAAGAAAGGATTCACAGTTGAATTTGAAGAAGATGTTTGCAGAATAAAGAAGAAAAATAAAACCATAGGAATTGCTAAAGCAGAAGGAAATTTATATACCGTAGTTGAATCGCAAAAAAAAAACAGCCAAAATTGCGGCTGCAGAAGGAAGAGAAAATAGTATAGATCTTTGGCATAGAAGGCTAGGACATAGAAATTATGAAGCAATCAAGAGGCTAAAGAATGATGACCTGGCAACCAGAATAAGAATTGACGGAGAAGTCAAAAAGGAAAAAGAATGCGAATGCTGTATCAGAGGCAAAATGACTGAATTACCGTATCCCAAGCTAAACAACTATAGAGCAAAATCAGTTCTAGACTTGATACATTCAGATATTTGTGGACCAATCGGTACAACATCACTAGGAGTTAAAGAAATACTTCATAAGATTCATCGACGATCATTCGAGATACAACGATCTATCTGCTAGCTACAAAAGATGAAGCTATCTCCAAATTAAAACAATTTGTAACCATGACGAAGAACAAATTTGGAAAGAAGCCAAAAGTCTTAAGAACAGACAATGGAGGAGAATATACAAGCAAAGAGATTGAAGACTGTCTAAAGGAAGAGGGACTCGAACATCAAACCTCCGTAACACATTCACCGCAACAGAACGGTAGAGCAGAAAGAAAAAATCGATACTTAATGGAAATGACAAGATGCCTATTACTCGATTCAGGACTCAAAAGAGAATTTTGGGGTGAAGCCGTGATGACAGCCACCTATCTACAAAACAGGCTACCATCAAGATCAGTTGAAAAAACACCGTATGAACTATGGAATAATAAGAAGCCGAACCTAAGCCATATCAGAGTCTTCGGCAGCACAGCTTATTGTCGAGTTCCAAAGCAAAAAAGAAGCAAACTAGATGAAAGAGCAGAAAAAGGAATTCTTGTTGGATATAGTGACCGTACTAAAGGATATAGAATTTACATGCCACATGCAAACGTCGTGATCAGAAGAAGCGTAATATTCGATGAAAACAAAAAAGAAGAAATGCCTTGTCAATTAAATGATCAGCATGAGGAAATAGAATGGCCTTTTAAAGAAAATAAATTGATAGAACCACGTCCAAATGATACTACAGAGAAAGTAATTGAAACAAGAAATTTCCCCCATTACCGAGAAGATCCCACAGAACGACTAAAGGAATCCCACCAAACAGATTCTCATACATGGCTAAGAATGAAGAAATCAAAGTTCCTAAAGACTGGGAAGAACTTCACACTTTTCCTACCAAAGAAAAGGAACTGTGGTTAAAATCTACGAAAGAAGAAATGGAAGCACTGAAGAGGAACAAAACATGGGAACTAGTCGATTTTCCAAAAGGAAAGCAAGCAATTGGAAACAAATGGACATTTAAAACAAAATCCAACGCTTCAGGAAATATTATCAGATATAAAGCTCGTTTAGTAGCTAAAGGCTATTGCCAAAAACTTGGGCACGACTACGACGAAACATTCGCACCAGTCGTAAAGTATACAACAATAAGGACTATTTTGGCAATAGCAGCTCAAAAGAAAATGCACGTAAATCACTTCGATGTAAAAACAGCGTTTCTATATGGAAATCTGAAAGAAAATATATATATGAAGCAACCAGAAGGCTACATCTCTGCTTCTGAATAAAAGTATCTACGGATTAAAACAGGCAGCCAGAAACTGGAATCACAAGATAGCTGAAATCCTGCGCAAACAAGGATACGTTCAAGGAAAGGCTGATCCATGTTCCTTCACACTAATCGAGAAAAACGCAAGAACTTACACAATCGTTTACGTTGATGACATATTAGTCGCGAGCGACAAGTGTGAATCAATTCAAGAAGTTGAACGAATTCTCAAAGAATATTTCAACATTCGAAATCTTGGAGAAGTGTCTACATATCTAGGAATTGAAATCAAAAGAGAAAAAAGACGGAAGATTTAAACTTCATCAAGCTAACAAGATTAATAGTATGATCGAAAAATTCGACGGAGAGTCACCAAAGAAACTAAGCTATACACCCATGACTACGAATTTTACGAAGAACCAAAACAACCAGGATGACGTTTTTCCCGATAATCGGAAGTATAGGGAAGCAGTGGGAGCACTTTTATATTTAGCAACAGTATCAAGACCTGACATAGCAAATTCTGTTGGAATACTTAGCAGAAAAGTAGAAAATCCATCAACATCGGACTGGAACGGTATCATTAAATCATACGATATCTGAGAGCTACAAATTAATTACAAATTACATCTAAAATCCAATGGTGCACCAGTCATAAAAGTTTACAGTGACGCTGATTGGGCAGGAGATACCTCTGACAGAAAATCCACATCTGGATATATATTTCAAATAGGAAACAGTACGGTATCATGGGGAAGCAAGAAACAAAATTGTGTCGCCCTATCTTCGACAGAAGCCGAATACATCGCTCTAGCCTTAACATTGCAGGAGCTACAATGGATTAGACAACTGATGGGAGATTTAGGTTTCGCACAACAGGAAGCGAACATCGTATTCGAGGACAATATATCATGCATAAATCTTTCCCGAAAAGAGAAAGGAAGCAGTTACACCAAACAACATCGATGTGAAATATCACTACGTATGTGATCTGCAAAATCAAGGATTGTTAAATTAATACACTGCAACGTAAAATGATGTATGCAGACATGTTCACAAAACCTTTGCCCAGACAACAGCTGGAGTTTTTTATTAAAAGGAATCGGGCTTACTGTGGACAAAACAGCTCATCGAGTGGGAGATTGTGGAGCAATTCATAATGACAGGCGATGAAGGCTGTACAACTTCCGACGTTAAGTTTCCCCCCTCACCCCCGCTAACTGTGATTGGACTTGATCCCCCCCCAAAAAAAATAGAAATAAAGAAGGAGAAACATTCTCTCCTTGTATGACTTCACGCTTCTCGCGTTATGCAATGGATAGTAAACAACGCTTGTAATCATCTCTATGTATGTTTTCCTTCATATACCTAATAAATATGTTATTTTGTGTTTGCTAATATAATGATCGTGTTTTTTACATCGGTAGCTTGGATTACACTTTATTAAGGTAAGAACTTTAATTCTGTTTTATTCATCTGCTCGTTTTGATTTAGCGAAGTTGTAACAGTAAACAAAAATGAACCACGAATACCATCATTTGCAAATAGAACAATTGAAAGATTTTGAAATTATAGTTTTCTGAAAGATGTTACCAATCGTAATCAAAGCGGAACTGTGAATTTCAGATCCATTGTCTTGAATGATCATTGATATCATCCCCCAGCTCATTTAAATTGGTGCTATATATTCTAATATTCTGAAGCAATTGCTCAGAATCCTCACAATATTCCTAAGTATTTGGCCGTGAGAAGGGCCTTTTATTGAAAGATTTTTCAGTTCATTATAAATATGTGAAAGCAAAATTCACATATTAACGAAGCATAAAACACACGAAGTCAAATAATGCACAGTGTAAATAGACACATTTTTGACATGTAAACATCTGTAAACGTCACATGATGCGCAAACCGAGAGGCGCGTAAGACGAGAGGGTCAGATCATGATCCCATAAGTTGCCTTCTCTCCGTAGACGCTAGTCGACATGTTTGGGGATTTAGCGCCGATCGAAATGATTGAGGCGGTGCTTTGAAGTTTGTTATCGTAGTGTTAATTTTGGCCCTACTTGGTTTAAAAAAAGTAATGAATGTTTTTGTGCATGTAAGTAAAATGGCGTTTTAAAAGGCGTTAAATTCTATCTAATTTAATGCATCATTAAATTTTTTATTTCAGAGATTTGTGTTAGTTTCACTTTGGCCGGTAAGCATTTTTGGTACTCTTACTTTCGCTAGTAAATATTTTGGTAAAAGTATATTTTAGGGTACACCTTGGCGATATTTGGCAGTAAATGGATACCGAGTTTGTGCAATTCTTTGATTTGTTATTTTGGGCCAAAAATCACCACTACACAAAGCCAAAATAACAAGACAAAGAATTGCACAAAGTATCCATGTACACATCGACCTATTTTCACTTAAAAAACATCAGAGAATTCCACTAACAAGGCTTTGTGCACTCCCTTGTACACATCGAACTATATTCACTTAAAAAGTCAAAGGAGCAGCCAACAAAAATATATATAATCTGGATAAACAACATTTTAAATCAAACAATGAAATAACATGAAGAGGGAAATTCATCTTAGCACTACACGAAGGAAATATCGATTTGCCTTATTTACGAAATTTTTCTGACTTCAGTCTGTGGCACACAAAATTCCTTAACAGCATCCAAAAATTTAAAAAAAACTATCTGAACTAGAATCTGTATACTGGTGTCGCCACATAAATTCCCAAAATAAGAGTAAAAAATATCCTCCATTCGAAAATATCCGATGTTACCATACGCATTTCCTTCCTCCAAACAGGGCACATATTAATGGCTACTAAGTAAACATCGATTTACACACCAGTCAATTAATGCTTTTTTCTCTTTCCTTCCAAGTCCTACAGAAACTTCAAATTTATCTTACCACATTCGGCCAATTTACCGTGTAAATCACAAAATAACAATGTACTAATCCATCACACGCAAGCCCTTACCCCAAATCCGTCACACACTTTTCAAATTTTTTCTATGATTCAAATTCGCCACAATCAATTACGTCATAATAGGGTTTTCATAGGCTTCAACTACTCAGGTTGTCATAAATGAAACAACAACTTGGCGATAAATGAAACAATTTCATGATAATACAAGGGGTACCCTACAGTCAACTCTAACCAAACAAAATCTATGCCATTAAGTAAATTGCCGGTGATGTATTACCCTAAAATATTTAATTGCATTTAAAATTTCTGTAAATTTCCTTGCTGTTATGTTTAACTTTACACCAAAGTAGGCATTCGAGTATGTGATCAGTTACATTTTCCTTGTGAAGACCACTTTTTTTGTAATTTTATTTTCAGCAACTCCCTGTTTGATTCTTTGGACTGGGGTATATGTACCAGTGAAGGAAATTTATGAGGTGATTAACAGTCTGATGTACGTAATACTCATGCCTGCCTAAGAATGGACATATCTGCCATTCATCAGTCTTAATAACTTTCCCCTTGTCACGTGCTTCTTAATCAGTGACATCAGAATCTCTGTTGATCTGTTTGCTGTGAGCATGTTTTTGATGTAGATGGTAATCTTTCTGAGACGCATCACTGTAGACAAGCATCTGTTTCTGACAACTTCCTTAATTGAATGATAATTATTCCATGTATTCGCTGTTAAAAAATTCAGTAAAGATATCATGGAAATCAGGTAATATTATAGTGAATAAGTGAGGAGTAACTTACACATACAAAGATAAACAATGAATGTGATGCTACAACATGCAAAATTATGAACAGCAATGTAAGGAACCAAAAATAATGTAAGATGAGTGGTTGTTACCTCTGAACATGTGAATCCATTGGGTTACCAGGTTTGAACTCTTTTGGAGGTGTTTAAGTAGCATCTAGCCTTAGCATGGTTTATGCTTCACGCATGCGCAGTAGGCATATTTTCAGTATGGTAACCTTCGTCTCTTGGCCAAAGAACATCAGGCTTTGCGATGAATTCAGACTTCAGCAATGCGTAAGTGAAGTGCTGCAGAATGTGTGAAATTTGTTCACTTTGTCTCCAATTATGCAAGCAATTATTTACTGGGGACTTAAAAAAGCATGTGGTGTGAGCTTTGTGCCCAATATGTGAGAATTTATTTACTGGGGCCTTGAAAAAGCATATGGGGAAATAGATGTTATTCTCTTTTGACTCCTATTGGTCTTTATTAACTTCCTGAATTAATGCTGTAGGTTTTTGTAACGTGCAATATTCAATTAACTTAACAGTATTTTACATTTATTTCCAAATGTATTTTTGTTTGACATTCATCTTATATTTACTGTTATCATAAAATTTCTTTTCAAATTCATGCTTTTCACGAAGGCATGTCTCATCCTAGGCGAATAATTCTTGAGAGCTTAACATTATCAATTAATTTAACCTCATTTTACAAATTTATTTTTTATTTCATTTTTACAGTTATCATAAAAGTTCATCGCAGGCAATGTAAAAGTAGCAAAATTTGTTCAACCCGCGATTTCCACGGGTTGAAATTTTGCCGTCTATTTAACTGTGCAACCCGCTCTTTCCCTGTTCAAGGTTTCCTTTCGGCTTTTCCGTGATGTTTAATTGTTTATTTAGATTTGAGATAACAGATGGCGTTAATTGTCAACAATTCTGCCAAATATACAAGAATGCGTAATGTAACATTTTGCACACGCTTTTCAGAGCTCAAAGATGTCTGGCAGGAAGGGTTTCGCAAGTGATATAACCTATATTACTGATGATATTTCTGACACTGATAGTAGTTCTGATTCTAATTTCAATTATATTGAAGATAGTTATAGCAAAACTGATGAGAATTTCTCGGATTCCTCTACAGATAGTGATGAATCTGAAATTTCAGCTTTTATTGAAAATGTTCAGCAGTGGTGCAAAATATTACATTTTGCAAATATTTTCATTAGTATATATATATGTTTTACCTTTGTATTTTATAAAATAAAGCATAATTTAACCAATACAGTCAAAAGTCTTTAATCCGGACGTCCGTAATCCGGAATGATCTATAATCCGGACCTCAAAGCTACAAACTTTCTGTGCATCTTTACGCATGCGCATATGTGTCTATGCATGCGCATAAAAGTTTACGCATGTGCGTGTAATGTATAATGGACGGTATAAGCTAAGCTAAAAGTATCTAATTATCTATTTCAGTTAACGTTGCAGATTGCATTGTTCTTTAATCTTCTAATTGGATCCGGCTTATTATTTTTTTGCAGACTGTTAGAGCAATTTTATAAAAGTAAGCTTGATCTTTCTAATATGTCAAAAAGAATTTCCGATTCTGAAGCTACCAAAGGATCTGCAAATGCATGTTCCGATGTCCATCAAACAAAAAATGGAATTGCTGCAAAAAATGGATAAAGGCATATCCTTTGATTCTCTAATCATTCCGAAATATGTTCATCAATTTCACATTGCTCTGTGGTCGGGGGGGGGGGGGGCGACGCGGCACGCAATGAACTGGACGTTGATCTGTCAGCACTATCCTTATCTTCAGGGCAGATGTTTTTATGGTTGATCTTTACAATATGGTAACTGGTAGTTTGGCGACATTTTGGAGGCGATAAAGGTTACTACCTGGCACTTTGGTAATAATGTGAGCAGTACTCAGTTCCGATTACGCATTATTTTGTGTGAGGGAAATGAGAGATCATGGGATATGTCATGTGATATTAATGGACGAATTACGGTTCTTTAATCGGAAAAGGGGGGAAATCGGGAAAAAATCTGCAAATTTTTGTATTTGGCTTTATTCTGTGTTGTGTGAAACAAGTGTTCGTGAATTTTTTTGGATCCCATGGCCGTAACTAAAGTGAATTCGAAATGGTATTTATGTATGTATTAATTTAATGTATGTGCTCATTTATATTTTTAAGTAGTGTTTTTGAATTTAATTATATTTTAATTAAATGATAGTTATTTTGTGAATTTTATGTTTGTAGGAATTTGGTATACGATTTTAGTTGAAGTAAACGTGCATGGAAATAATTTAAATATCTGACAATAAGTATTTGTAATGGTTGCGGTATGAATTCGTTGGTGACATGCATAATGTAATAGATGATTTAGAGTTAAAAGTTTTGGATATTTTTATTTATTTTTTTTATATGTGGAAATGTTCATTACTTTTTCGCGATCAGGTAATTTCATATATGTTCTTTTACCGGGTTTAAAGATTGAGAAATTGTCATGTATTTTCTAATTTTTTTTATGAGAAAAAAGCAGTGTACATGGATATAGTGAAGGGTGTGCGCAATGTCATTTTTGTGCAATTCTGGGATGTTTTTTTTAAGTAAAAATAAGTCGGCGTGTACATGGTTTTAGTGATTTTTAATTAAATGATAGTTATTTTGTGAATTTTATGTTTGTAGGAATTTGGTATATACGTTTAAATTGAAGTAAACGTGCATGGAAATAATTTAAATATTTGATACTAAGTATTTGTAATGCTTGCGGTATGAATTCGTTGGTGACGTGCATAATGTAATAGATGATTTAGAGGTAAAAGTTTTTGGATATTTTATTTATTTTATATGTGGAAATGTTGATATTTGGAAAGGGTAAATACTTTTTCGCGATCAGGTAATTTCATATATGTTCTTTTTACCGGGTTTAAAGATTGAGAAAATTGTCATGTATTTTCGTGAAATTTTTCTAATTTATGAGATAAAAGCAGCGTACATGGATATAGTGAAGAGTGTGCGCGCAATGCCATTTTTGTGCAATTCTGGGATGTTTTTTTAATAAGTAAAAATAAGTTGGCGTGTACATGGTTTATGTGTATGTGTTATTTTGAAAAACGCGTAAGGAGTATGGTATTGTGCACTTTTCCCCAATTTTGCAGTGAATATTTGTCATGATTAAGCAGTTTTGTTAGATAAAATTTCTAGCATAAGTGTAATTCGGCTAGTAGATTGTTGGAAGAAGTGTTCAGTAGATAAAAAGAAAAGAAACATGTCTTTACTTCGTGAAGACAAAATGGCGGCGGGAAAAAAAAATAAAGGGTTGCTGTAGGAGAGTTGGTCACCAAATTTTAGCCAAAAAAACTTTAAGTTACCATA